GGCGGGGCCTGGGGCGGGGTTATGGGTGGGCGGGGATTCCCGCGCGTGGGCAGGGCCTCACCGACAAGTGGGACCACTCCTCTCCAGTAAGCACTGGCCCTGGTGACAGTCAAGGGCGTTTTCTACGCCCACCGTGCACTTGGTGACGCAGAAGAGGCTCTCGTCCTTCACCAAGGGGAAGTAGAACTCCTCGTAGCCCTCGGGAGCGGAACGGCGGCAGATGGCTGGGGGTTTGGGGAGGGGGTTGCAAAGAGACAGAGACCTCTTTCATTCTACTCGGGGGCCTGGTTATAGTGACTGGAAATGCATGGGGAGGACTGCATTTCCAAGGATGAGTGTGGTGGGGTAGACCCTGGGATTAGATGAGGGGAAGGCAGGCTACCAGCACCCTCACCCTGCTGGTCCTTGAGTGGAAGCTACAAACAAGCGCCAGAAGGGCAGCCCTGGGCCACATCATTTGCCTCCCCTAAAGGTCTCCCCCTCCTCCCCAGGGAACCTCAATGGGTAGATGTTCCTGGAGGGAGGGGTCATGGCCACCTGAGGCCTCTCAGCCCTTTGCCCCATCCTCACCTTCCACAGTCAGATCTGTCGTGGTGTTGTTGTTCACCTTGATGGAGTTGTACATAAAGCACAGGGCTGGAGAGACACAGGCACAGATGGAATGGGGCGCACAGGCAAAGGGGTTAGGGCCAGGGAGACAGGGCAGGGAGAGAGGGCAGACAGGAATCTCTCAGAATGGGGGCTGTGGAGGGGCCACGAGGGAAGATTCCTGTTGCTTGCCTCCTCTCCCCTGAATAATCAGGGCTCTTCAGCCATCCTGGAAACACTGAGCACACCTGTCAGGACCCAGGTCCTGGCGAGACCCTCCCTATCCCCACCCTTGACCCAGTTGGGAGTAGACCTGTGCCCCTTCTCCCAACCGGCCAGAGGTACCACAGGCTGGCACCTGATCCCAGAAGGCCCCCTGACTGAGCCAGAGTGGGCTGGGGTGTGACCTTGACCCTGACCCTCCCTTCAGCCTCGGCTCACTCTGGTTACTCTGGTTATTCTGGCAGCTGTACTCAACCAGGCTGGCATTGTAGAGCTTCTCATACAGGTCTGTCTTCACATCCTCATACTCATCCACCAGGGAGGGGCTGAAGGGCAACTCCAGCAGGACCAGATAGTCCACCACGATGCTGCCATTCCTGAGAGGGTCAGGGGTCTCAGAGGATGCCCAGGCCTCAGGCACATAGGTCCTTGGAGGGGCATCTCCAGGACCAACCACAAATTGCGCAGGAAGGGGGTAAGGGGACAAAGGTCATGAGTTCAGATGCCAGACACATCCTTTTCAGAAGGGGCTGCCAGCATCCCTAACCTGGCCAGCCGGGAAAGATGGGACAAGGAATGATTGACATTCTCTTCATGTTGCGTGAATCCATCACCAAACCAGGCCCTCCTGGGCTCTCTGCCTCTCTCTCTCTCTCTGTCTCTGTCTCTCTGTCTCTCTCTCTGTCTCTCTGTCTTTCTCACCAGGCCCTCCTGGGCTCTCTGCCTCTCTCTCTCTCTCTGTCTCTGTCTCTCTGTCTCTCTGTCTTTCTCTCTCTCTCTCTCTCTGACCCACCCAGCAGAGCAGGTGCCAGCTAGAGAGAGGCCAAGTCAACAACCCACACACCACCTCCCTGCAGGTCCCTGCAAACTCTCCCCTTCCAGCGTGCTGAAGAGGAGGGTGCCACCCCTTCTAAAGAGACATGACCCCAGAAAATGATCATAAAAATGCCCCTTGGGGTGTTCCCTTTGCATACTCCTCCTGCCCCCCTCTCTATGAAATCTGATGACTCTGAAAGCAGGGGGTGCACTTTCCAGCCTTTCTCTGCACCCCTTTTCTCCACCTAACTTGGCCTCCACATCCCCAGAAGGGTCTCCTACCTCAAGGACAGGATCTCCACATCCTTGAACCCCTGCACGTTTTGGTAAATCTTCCTCATCTGAAAAGCCAAGGATCCCTGGGCTCATATCTGAATGTGCAGGCCTGAGGGCATCTGGAGGCCCAAGCCCTTAAGTTCCCCTCTTCTTCCCCCTCACCTGATCCAGGAAGATGCTGCTGAATTTCTTGTAGGCCTCTGAAGTGGTGTCATTGAGTTCTGAGGAAAACGTCTCATCAATGGACACCTCCATGCTCACTTCGGCCTCCACTGTGACTGCACATGGCATGCACACTCTGGTCACGTCACCATCTGCCCCTGTCACCACCACCCAACCCACAGGCTCCTGCCTCTGCCCATTTCTGTGGTCCCTGAGAAATGACTGAACAGCAGCAGGGAGAGAGGAAGGAATTCTGGAAACGAGGGGAAGAAGTCAGGATGCACAGCAGTCAACCCATGGCCCCTCCCTTGTCTGTCCCTGTGGTAAGGAGAGTAATGGCCCCCAAAGAAGTCTATGTCCTACTGCTCAGAACCTGTGAGTCTCTCATACTGCACGGCAAGGGAGAAGCAGGGATGCAGATGAAAGTACATTGCTAATCAACTGACCTTAATATGGAAAAATTAATGCTAGCTCTCTGAGTAGACCCAATGTAATCACAAGGGTCCTCAACAGTGGGCGAGGGAGGCCAAAAAGGTCAGAGTCAATCGAAGGAAGGCATGATTATGGAAGAAAGGCACAGAGAGATGCCATCTTGCTGCCCTTGAGGAAGGAGAGGGGCCTTGTAACAAGGAATGTGGTAGGCTCCAAATGCTGGAAAGGGCGAGGAAATGGACTCCTCCCTAGAGTCTCTGGGAAAGAACACAGCCCTGGTGACATCTCGATTTTTTAGCCCATTGACATTAACATCGGACTTCTAATCTACAGAACTGTAACTTGATAATTTTGTGTCACTTCAGTGGTTAGGTTTGTGGTAATTCATTATAGCAGCAATTGGAAGCTAATACAGTTCCAAGCAGCTCAGACCAAGAGGAGGCGCCAGGAGGGAGTGTGGTCCCAGCAACCACCTGGAGGTGAGGATGGAGAGGAGGCATGATATGGGGCAGCAGAGGACATGGGAGAGAAAGCAGGGATGGAAGGATTGGGCACAATGGCATGGGGCCTTCCAGGCCACCCACAGGGCTGGGACCAGGGGAGTCCATGGCACCTCTGGAAGGAAATGCAGAGGGCATGGCTCTGCAGACTCACCTACTTCTATTTCTCCCGTGGCATATTCGCAGTGGGAGCCATAGAAGGTGCTGAGGCACTGGCACTTGAGGCCATCCCATGTTCCCCCATTCTGGCATTCGGTCTCCTGGTCCTGACAGAGATCCCCAGAGAACCCTGGGAGGCAAATGCACTGGCCCTGTTCCCAGGTGCCTCCATTGTTGCAGGTGCCTGGAAAGCACAGGAAGAAAGGGAAATTCAGGGTAGAGCCTGACCTTGGTGGCAGAGAAATTAACAGGGGAGGGAGGAGAGGGAGCAGAGAGGCAGCAGGTCCAACCTTGGGTGGTGGTTGACTGTGTGGTCATCTGAGTAGTGGTCGATGTTGTCCTGGATGACGTACTGGTGGTGGGAGTCTGGGTAGTAGCCACCGGTGTCTTTGAAGTCCGGGTGGTGGGTGGGGTGGGAAATGTCAACTTGCTTGAAGTCATCATGGCAGTTGGAAGGCTGCTGCTTGGTTTCATGGTGAGTGGGAGACTAGTGAAGCCAGGCATATGTGGGGTGGTTACAGACTTGGTGCTCAGCCATTTCTCACTGGTGGGCATTGGGGTGCTTGTCCAACCTGTGTTCCAGGGTACGGTTCCAGCATCGGGAGAACTAGGGGCATCAGTTACGATGTTGGTGGGCTCACTGTCCAGACTCATGGAAGTAAAAGTGTCCACATATGTGGGAGGGACAGTTCTCATACTGGTGGAACTAGGAAAGGTGACCATTTCAGTAGTAGAGGGAAGGACTGATGATGGGGTGATGGGAGTAGAAGTACGTTCAAAGCTGGGATCCAATTCAATACTCGGATCAACAGTAGAGGTTGAGACAACAGTAATTGGTGTAGTTTCTGGACATGGGGTAGTAGAAGAAGGGGAAATGGAAAAAATTGGCGTCGTTTCAGTAAGACTTGTGGATGGGATGGAGGTGCTTGGAGAAGTTCTTGTAGTGGGAGACCAAGAGCGAGTAGGAAAGGAGGGAATAAAAGAGGAGACAATGTTTTCCGTACTGGACATATGTGGGGAGGAAGGAACAGTGGCAGCGGTAGGCGTGAGTGATGGAATTCGGCTAGAGGGAGACAGAGAAGAGGACATGATTGTTGTCGGTGTTGAAGTCAACATAATGGACCTGAAGGAGGTAGTGACGGCATTGGTAGATGAACCCACTGCACTGACTGTATTCCGCATGGTGGAGGAGGGTGTAACTATATTTGTGGAGGTAGCTAAATTACTGGAGGCAGTGGGTGCTGTGGGGAGGTCTGTCTTCGTGGTCAAGAAGTGAGAGGTGCCCACAGATGTGGGAGTGACAGCTGTGAGTGTGGTGGTAGCAACTTGTGTACTAAGAGAGGATGGACTCATGGCTGTGCTCATCAACAAGGTGCCTGGGGTGGAAAGAGGTGAGCTGAGGGCCGTCGTGGGGGTACTGGAAATGGAGTGTGTGTTTGAAGAACTGAAGCTTGGAGTGCTGTGTGATGTGGTGACATTGGCTTTTGTTACCAGATCAGTGACAGCAGTGGTGGCTGTCTCTGTAGTTGGCTGATAGAGGGAGGTGGGAGTGGGAGTGGTGGCAGTGGCAGGTGTGTGCCTTGTCATGGTGGCAGTGGTGATTTCAGTTGTGGACCGTGTCAGAGCACTGCTGGGAGGAGTGGGGTAGGTGATGTCAGAAGTAGAGGTCGGCCTGGCACTGGTACTAGGGAGTGCGGTCACCAAGGTGGGTAAAGGGGTGGAGTATGTGGGACCCGTAGCAACGGTTTCTGTGCTCGGCATAAGAGTGGAAGATGAAATTCTACCCGGAAGTGACGTGAAAACATAGGTGGTGCTGAACGGAGACGTGGTGGTTGTGTCCAAAGACACTGAAAGCGTGGGAGTGACTGAGGAAGTGACTGTGGGAGTAGTGGTCATTGTGTGTGAGAGAGATTCGGTAGAAACGTCAGTGGTAGGAGGCCATGTGGTTTCACCAGTGGACGTGTCACTGGGGGTGGGAGAGGTCATGTGCTTGGTTGCAGTGGCAGCTGGAGTGGGTGTAGGCGGTGCTGTGGATGAGGATGTGGTTAGAGAGTCTGTGCTGGTGGGAGTCAGGGTGGATTTCCCTGTTGTGAGGAGTGTACTGGTGATGGCTGGAGCTGAGGAGAAGCTCTCTGTGACAGTGGCCCTGGTGCTGCTGGCAGATGCAGAAGAGGAGAATGCAGATGTCACTGGAAAGCCAGTCAAGTGGGTACTTGTCTCAGTGTTCTCAGTGCTTGTGTGAGTAGTTCTCACAGTGGCAGTGTTGGCAGGGGATGTGCTACCATGGGAGGAGGTCTCTGTCATCTCTACTGTTGGGGAAGATGGAACGATACTTGTGGACATTGAAAATGGACTGG